CACAATGAGTAGGAAAAAAAGGTTATGTTGCAGTTCAAATTTTTGGCAAGTTTTGAAACAGACAAAAGATTTGAGGTAAGACTAGGAACATACAGAACTGATTTAAGAGAAAGGTCCTTGCTTAGGTCAACCACCCCTTTGCCAGAGATGGTGGAGAAAGACCTGTCGGCAACACTCATCTTATCCTGACCAGATAACAAGTGATATGAAGAGAATAAGGAGGACATATGTGTCATGTGGTCAGTTGCACCAGAATCAATAACCCAAGTAGTAGATTCAATAGGACTTGTTGCACTAAAGGCAGAGACTATACCTGATCTGGCAAGAGAGGTGGAAGCAAAATAGTTACTCCTTAGCCGGGCTTTTAGCCCGGCTAAGGACCTCTACCTCATCAGTAAGGTACCGGCTCCGGAGGAATTAGCAACCTGCCCCATGGAAGAAGAAGCCACTATTGGTATACTCTGTGAGCTATCACCATTGTTACTAGTGACAAGGTTCCCACTTGCCGCTTGACCCTTCTGTTGCTTCTTGTCTTTTCTCAATGCAGCTGGCTTCAGGTGAGGATACAGGACCCAACACTTCTTTTACATGTCTTTCACCTCCACAATGAGTGCACTTAAGATGCCTTTTGTCTGGATATCTGTTCCCCTTTTGATTTGTAGAAATCAGGGCTGAATGTTCTACAGATTGTTCAGCTGGATGCATCTGAGTGTCAACTGGCATCTCCTTTCTCCTGACCTCTTCATTCCTTACCAGATAATAAACATGATGTAACTCGGGCATTTCATCTCTTCCAAGAATTTGTGACCTTATGCCCTCATACACTTGGTCCAGGCCAGCCAAGAACTTAAAGGCTCTGCTCTCTTCAATCTGCTTATCATGTCTCTCCTTGTCCCTGGCATTCTCCTAATCCAGAATCAAGTGACGATCAAATTCTTCCCACAGTCCTTCCAGAGTTGCAAAATATGTTGCAACTGTCATATCCCCTTGCCTTAAAACAGCAATGTCTTGGTTCAACCTGTAAATTCTAGCATTGTTTTTCTTTTGTCCATAGGTTTTTGACACTTTTTCCCAAATCTTAGCTGTTGTGGGAAAGTGTTGAACAGTCCTGGCAACTCGTGGAGTCATAGAAGCAAGCAGCCAGGACATAACTGTGGCATTCTCCTTGCGCACACTGCATACTCCACACTGCCAACTTCGGGTTCCTTCTTCTTCCCATCTAAATAACCTGTGAATTCACTGGAAGTAATAAAAAGCATTGCAGAAACGGTCCACTCCCTGAAGTTGTATTCATCCAGCAACACACTTGTAATCTGCAAGCTGTGCAGATTCAGGTTCTCCAGATTTGAAGACCTCCCACCAGGTTTGTTATCCCTAGAAGAGACCTCTCCGGATATTGAAGACATCTTGGTTGCAGACTTTGTGTAGATAACACTGTTTCAGACTAGCCGAAGTGGTCACAGTTCTGAAGTGGATCAGTTACAATAGTGAAGAGGGTTTTGACAGCTCGTAACACTGTTTCAGACTTGCCGAGACTGTCACAGTTCTGAAATGGTCCAGTTACAGCAGCAAGAGGTATTCTGTGAGCTAGTAACTGACCTGAAATTGAGAGCTCTCCACCACTGCACTATGCAGACTTCTCTTGGGCTTCGACTTCTGCTRCTGTAGAGTGTGCTCACCCCTACGACCAATACTAGGACTGCTGAAATCAGTCCTCAACCTAGGTCTGTCCTATACAGACCTCTCTTAACAGCCGAATGGCTACTAACTATTAGGAGCAGTCTAGTAGGACATCAACTTCTGGATCTTACTTCCCTTGTGCCCTACAACCAAGGGAAACCCTAGGTTTGAACCTTGTTCTGTTCTACAGCAACCCTAGGGTTTCTCCGCAGCAACCAGGATAAAAAAAAGAGAGAAAGAAAGCAAGAGAGAAGAGTTGGCATCGGCTGTAACCAGAAGATCGCTCAATGCTCTGATACCATGTTTGCTGGAAGGTTGTTAGCTGAAGTAGTAGAAGAGAGGTGAAGGGAAACAAGTGCTGAGAATGTCGAACTAAGTAACCCAGTTGACAGTACTATTATTTATAGTAGAGTACAATGCAGTGTTACATGAAATGTCTGGAATGCCCCTGATTAGTGATGGGACACTCAGACTGCTTAAAACACTAAACAGACTTAGGCCCAATAACAAAGGCCCAGTACTTAACAGCTTCAAGCCCAATACTAACTAACATGTACACTTATCAGCCGAACCAACAATACATAAAATCAGTCAACTTAACAAAACTAAGATTGTTTTATCATGTGTAAGGCCAATAACCACATCAGAAATTGAGATGGTTTTGCCATGTTTGCATTAGAGAGACAATGGGTGTAGCAGTAAGAAGGGGTGATTTGGTGCAAGTTGAGGGTTGTTCTAAAAGTGCTAGGAAGAGGCTGAAAAGGACGTGAATTGAAGTAGTTACAAAGGGTGTGAGGAATCATAACTCAACAAAAGATATGGCCCTTAACAGAGTGAGATAATAAAAGGATTTATGTAGCAAACTAGATAGTTTGGAGCTATATTACCCGGATATGGAAAGGACAGAGCTGGACACAATATTGGATATGAAATTTACACTAAAAATTAAAGTAACTGACATGATATGACACCCTTGTACAGGTATCCGGGTATCATTTATTGGCAGAAAGCTTTGTTGAGTTTAGTTGGGTATTATTGTTAATACAGAATATTTCGCCTGTTTTCTTTCACATATTATAGTTACTAGAGAAACATTTTCTTAGGTCCTAATAAAAGTTTAGAAAAGATTGGGATAAAATAAAAAAATTGCAAACATGACAAAGATGCAACCTGTTACATTTGTCCCTTGGCATACAAAATGGGTTCATCAGTTTTAACATGATAAATTGTACAAATGTCCATACATGTACACTGCAATTTTGTATGACTACAGGTATCATGGAATGCTTCTGAGGTATTCCTAGATACAATAGCTGCAGTGGGTCATAATCCATGTGAGTTTAGTACTGTTTCTTCTGAATCAGGAATTCTTCACCCCCTATTCACCTTAAATTGGACCTACTTGATTTATCTGGATCACATGATTTCCAGAATGTGCCCCCCAAACCATGTTGCTAAGGACTATTACTGCTGTCTGACCAAGCAAGAACGGGCTTTTCTAAAGTGTGAGAAATGAACATGGTTACAACAAAATGATGGCAAACACGTTCATGTATATCTCTGCTCTTATGAATCTGCAGGCTGTGACCATGATTCATAGTTGTACACAGTACGTTTGTGGTAGTGACTCAGTCTACAAATTGAATGAGACATGTTTTGATGGGCAGAGATCAACTGAAATCCTACAAATAATGCAAATTTGCAAACTGTCTTGTAATTTTTGTCGTTGCAAGTTACAATGTTCTATAAAGCAAACTGGCAAATGCATAGAATGGTAGCTTCCCATTCATCTTTACCTTTGTTACCACTTACCGGAAGTGACAGATAGGCAGAGATGTTCCAGAGGCCCAAGTGGGGATTATCTAGAGGAAAAGGAATGGGCACTTATACTGGAAATGAGACAATTGGGTATAGCAGCAAGGTGAAGGTCAATCTGTTTCTTCTCAGCACTGAACCTGCATAGCCAACTCTTTTCATGGTCTTAGAAGTAGGGTCATGAGGATATGATCAGCAGGCCCAAGAACCCAACAATCAATTCACAGTCCCAAGCTTTTCTCTGTAAGAACCAGAGCCTTGTTTCCTTACCTTCAATCTATTAACCTTGAACCACAATCCTTGGTTTTTCTATCATTTATCAAAGATCACCAAAGGCCAAACCATCTCTATACTTACAAATCCTAAAAGGTCTGCAAAGTTTTTCAAAGTTCTATTATTAATACCAATATTCCTTTTCTCTGGTTTGTCTGACAGACTTTCTCACAAGAGTCATAAGAGATTCTCCTTTAAGGCTGAAACTGTTAGCTCGATACTTTTCAATAGAGAATTGATAAAGTAGATGTGTCTCGGTGATGGTTGTAGGCCCATGTATGAGAATGTTGTACTGGAACCTTCAGTCTCAGTCAGAATTCCCATCAAATCAATCTTTCAGATTGAAAGTCTCAACCTATGGTTTTAATCTATGGAAGAAAGCGTGTATTATCTTCCTGAGAATGACATCATCATGAATCATTTCCAAATTAACATGGAATGCAACAATTATCAGACAGACCCATTTATTATTGCAGCTTGCATACTTCCTGCCAGTGTTGTATATCTGTGGCCAAGTCTGACAGAAGTGTTAATAAATGCTATAATGCCATTAAAAACCTTTTATTATCAACAGACAAGTTTGATTAGGTGTCAAAGATTTAGGGATTATTTACTTTCTATCATAACATGTGAGTAATCAATAACTGATAACAGGATCGAGAAATCTTTGTGCTAGAGTTCCTTTTCTTAATTAGTTTATTCACTATCAAAATATAAAGGAATACACGCTTGAACCTCTTTGGGAACTTCAAACATTGTGGGCTTCTGAATCTTGCAAGCATCCATTTTTAGATGGTAAGGCAGTGATCCAGAACAATGGCCCCCCTTCCCCCAGTGCTTCTCAACACACACATACCTACTATGATATTCCCCCTCCTCTCATGTAACATCTTATCATGCTTGCCTGCAGGTGATGCACTGTAAAATTATCTCATTTTTTTAATGATATAAAATTATCCCAAATTAATTTCTGGCCTATGCTTCGTTCATGATTTATATCATAATCTTCTTAGTTATATATTCTCACCTTATTTGCTCTTGTAAATGTAAAAAAAAAAAATTGTCACGTTTTTTCACTACAAAAGAGAGATGATATTTTGAATTTTGATATATTCCTTTACTTTCAGTAAAAGTGGCTGTAGTCACACAAGAGAAATGCAATATTCTGAATTTTATACGTTTCTTTACTTTGTGTCATATCAGAAGATTGACTGTTTCCTTGTATTTTGTAGCCTACAGTAGCTGCAATAGAAGCAGGAAAAGATATTGCACTGGCAAATAAAGAGACCCTGATTGCTGGGGGCCCTTTTGTTCTCCCTTTAGCACACAAGCATAATGTAAAAATACTTCCTGCTGATTCAGAACATTCTGCCATATTTCAGGTAAGCAGGTCATTTTTTTTTTTAAATTTATTTGAACACTGCCATATCTGAAACTTTTGAGGCTCATCCTACCAACTACAGATGACTTAGTGGGATATTTCTAGTTCATCACTTGCTTCATTGTTTTCATCAACTTGAAAAGATGTATTTCCATGTTTGTTTTATCCTTCAACCTTTTCATTACTTTCTAAGCATTCTTTCATTAATACTGATTAGAGAAGTTGAGAGAGATCTTCCTGTCTCCAGTGTATCCAGGGTTTGCCAGAGGGCGCACTGAGGCGTATCCTTTTGACAGCATCAGGAGGGGCTTTCAGGTGTGAACACAGAAAACTGAAGATGATTTTATGGTTAAATATGTCTACAAAAATATTGAATACCAGTACTTGCATTAATCTAAAATGGGCTCAAACCAGCTATGTTGTTTATTCCCATGTTTTTTTTTTCTCCCAAATGCAGGAGGCTAGAATGACAAAATTTGATCTTACCTTTGAAGTTGCTCCTGATTGCTGATCCCCCAACCCCCAATAGACAGAAAAGAAATTTTCAAAATGTCCCATGAATCCACAGTTTGATACCTGAATCTTGCATTTCCGAACTTCATGAACTCCTTTTTCAGGGAAAAGTTATTAAATTAATTGGGTCTATCTGGTTTTACTTTGTCTTCTATGTCCATATCTCTACTTTAACTTTGTTTTTCCTTTGCTCACAATCCACCAGTATGAACTTGGAGCCTTACCATTTGACTGTGATTCCCCTGCTAGGGATTGGCCTGTTGAAAAACTGAAAGACGTGAAAGTTGCTGATGCTTTGAAGCACCCAAACTGGAATATGGGCAAGAAGATAACAGTGGACTCTGCTACCCTTTTCAATAAGGTTTCCCACTATAATTGTTGCTTTAAAGAATTTCCTATGCCTTGTCATGTTGTCTTCTTGATTTTCCCACTGAAATTGTTGTTTTAAAGAATTTTTTAATATATTTTCTTAACAGGGTCTAGAAGTTATTGAAGCCCACTATCTATTTGGGGCTGAATATGACAATATTGAAATAGTGATTCATCCACAATCTATCATACACTCAATGGTTGAAACACAGGTTCAAGTTCAACTTTCTTTTTATTTATTTTTCTTTTCCCTCATTCTATCATCTTGGCTGCTTATTGAATAAATTCTTTCTAAATTTCATTTTTTCAAGATGTTAAAAAGATTCCAGTGGCAGAAGTTAAAATTGTGAATATCTTGTTAATTTGATTCTTCACATTCTAATACATGGTGGGTTGAGGTTCTTATATTATTCATTCTTTTAATGTTCGTTTTCAGGATTCATCTGTCTTGGCTCAGTTGGGTTGGCCCGATATGCGCTTGCCAATTATTTACACACTATCATGGCCAGACAGAATTTACTGTTCTGAGATAACTTGGCCTCGTCTTGATCTTTGCAAGTAAAATATTATGTTCTTTTTTTTCATCGTTTGCAAGTAGATATTCGTTCCTCTATGAATGTTCCATATTGCTATTCTTTCCATAGAGATACAGAAAACTGTGGTCCTTGAGAAAAAGATGAAAGTAGGGAGATAATCTGCCAAATCATGTTTTTATTAATGCCGGAGAGAAAATCTGTTTAGATCTTGTATATTATATGGATAAAAATGCCCTTGTACTAGAAGGGACATTTTTTTTTTCTACCATAAGGTTAAGGTGGGAATGAAAAGTCAAAAACAGCTTCAAGAAATAAATTATAAATATGAGATGGTAAAACTGTATTTAGTGTTTATAAATGAAGTTTCTTTTATCAATTTCAGAATATATGTTTTGTAGATAAAATTAATGTTTTATTGTTAAGGGCATTTTGATAAAATCCCTATTTATGTTTCTTCTGTTAACAAACTCCCTGTTGTTTTATGGTCAAAGGGGGTATAAATTATTAGATAAACCTGAGGGATGACATAAAGTATTTGACAAAAAAAGGGAAGTACTACTACCTGTCCCTTCCATCTTTGTGGGAGCAGGCATGTACTCTGTATGATAATGAACATCTATAATTTGTCTGAGGACATAGCTCTTGATAGGGTGCAATGGCTGAACAGGATTCATGTAACTGGTTCCAAATGGTTGGAATATGGCTTTGTTGATTTGAGTTGTGTACACTCTTCCCCTCTTTCTACAAACTATTCTTTTCACTATTCAAGAAAAGGAAAAAGATAAGAATGATTTTTATGTCTCTTTTCTTCTTTTTATTAGAGGTGGTGGCCATGGGGAGGTGTTCAGTTGGAATTTGACTTTTGTTTAAACTGAGCAGGGACACGGAGTCTTATGGTTATGATACTGATTTAGCACCATCCATCAACTTCAGGCTCAAGTCAAGTTTGTTAATTTAGAAGTGTTTGGTGCTTCTAAAACATTAGGTCATGAGAATACCAAAAAGAATCCTATGTTCATGAGAAAGAAAGGATAAGCTGAATTTCTTATAATTGGAGAAATGAATTGAAGGGCCACTACCCAATGTTAGTCCTAGCTATCTGGGGCTGGATATGGACCTTGGAATTTTCTTGCACAAGGTGGCAGCTCTCACATTTGAATTTGTGTTCTCAAAGTTGTCAGCCCTGGATTTTACCATTGTACCAATGAATGACCTTGAAGAAATGAGTAAGATTATTCATCATCTATAAAGATCTGCCAAACCAGTGGAAAATTTGGCTTGTTAAAGCTGTATAATGGGTTGCAAGTATTTTAGATTCACATCCTATCTGTCTAAACATCCCAAGTTATGAACTTTAAGTATTGATGTTAACTGACTGACAAATCCAGTGTTGAACTTCATGCAGAGTAATGAATATTAGAGTTATTAAGTGGATTTATCTCAATGTTCTCTATTCTACTGATTCCAGAAGTAACATTTTTTCAATTTCTATTATGAAGTTAAAAAATATTAGGCCAATACTAGTTTGTCATTTTTTTCCTTCAATGGATAAGATGAAATTTGAATTGGCTGATGCAGGCTGGGTTCTCTGACATTTAAAGCTCCTGATACTGTAAAATACCCATCCATGGATCTTGCATATGCTGCTGGACGGGCTGGGGGCACAATGACTGGAGTTCTTAGTGCAGCTAATGAGAAAGCCGTTGAGTTGTTCATTGATGAAAAGTAAATAAACATCCTCACTTTTCAACCGTCTTGGTTCTATCTCTTCCTCTGTTCTCTTTACCTGATCAAGTTATTCCTTTTTCTTTTTTGGGTAAATGATCAAGTTATTGCTTATCCCTCATTAGTAATGGCTGAAAAATCTAGAATCACATTCATGTCCTGAAGGGTCTGTAGACAAGTTTTCTAGGTTTCTGCTATAGCTGTAGAGGCCTGCCACTAGATATTTTAATCCTTGTATAGATATTTTGAAGAATTTGAAATTTTGTTATACTAATAGTTAATCTCTCAATGTGCAAGGGCCTAATGATTTTTTTTTTATATGTTTTGAAAAGTTACAAACTAAAATTATAGTGTTTTTTGGCCTAAAATTATAATTATCCACCATAAAAGGTGTAGGAAAAGGGTGGGGTTTCAAATTTGAAGATAAGAAAGATAAATAATGTTGAAAGTAATAGCATTATGCTATTTAGTTTTGGGGTAAATTGTTATACAAGTTTATGAGGGTAATTAATTATTATAGTAATAAATGAAGTGGTATTTATGTATCATTCACTTAGTAGGATAAAAATGTCTAGGAGAATAAATTATACACGCACACACACATTTGGTAAGGAGAATCAATAATTATATTACTAAGTTGGATGGGAAAACTTGTCCTTATTGCTGTTATTTATACAAGGCAATTAGCTTATCAGAAAGACATCCAAATAATTTTGACATCATTAGATTGTGTCATTCTTATCTTACATTCCATGTCATTTAGAGAAGTATGGGTGTCAAATAAGGACATCAAATGTAAATGATGAAAAAAACCAGCATATGGAAGTACCTGATGAGAAGGTATCACAATCTATACAGAGAAGCACATTATATTGAAGAGACTTGACATATTCAAAACCATGACATGTCATGTTACCACATTCATTCCCAGATTGTGGGGTCACATGTATATGTAGTAACCGATTTAGGATGCAAGTCATGGAGACTGGACACACAGAAATGCTATCATATTCGCATGCAAGTATGAATTTCTTTACCATGTCACAATACCTTTTTCCCTCTTCTTTCTTTTTCTTTTTTCTAAATTATTTTGTTGTGATGTAGTTATCGACCATACATTTTGGAAATGTCATGAAACGACGCATTAAAAATCTTTCTAGATGATACTTGATTCTTTTTCTCAAGATAAGATTAGAAATTGACAACGATCTATCCATGAAGTTCTGCATGATCTGACAATCTTTGAGGGCTGAATTGGGCATGTTATGATCATTACTACTATATCTTTTTGGGTATTCCGCAGTACCTTAGGCTGAGTTTGGAAAGAGTACAAATACAAATATGTACAGTGCAAATACATACAAAATGATACAAAATACAAGGTTTTGCACTCTACATATTTGTATTTGTACTCCTTCCAAACTCAGCCTAAGAACAGATAAAAAGGAAGGAGTTCAGCCTCCTGAAATGACTTGGATATCCTAGATTTATACTTGCTTAGTTGACAGCAACCTATTCCCTGTGATGGTTAGGTTGTTACTCGTAAGAAATTAAACCATCTTATTGATGCCAGAAATCTAAATTTCATCTGCACAGTGAAACTTCTCCAAGAGACCAAGACTACGGTTCTTGGATCCCCACCAATTCTGCAGTCAACAAGACACAGTTCACATATAATGTTGATCACTGCTGCAGGCTTCTTATGATGAGTATGGATAGGTGCTTCCTGTTATAATTCATCAGCTGATTAATATTGTATCTTTCTTTCCAGAATCAACTACCTCGATATTTTCAAGGTTGTGGAACTTACATGTGAGAAGCACCAGGCAGAATTAGTGGCCAACCCGTCACTTGAGGAGATAATACATTATGATTTGTGGGCTCGTGAATTTTCTGCTAGTTTACAAACATCATCCGGATTAAGTCCAGTCCTCGCATGATTCACAGCAAGCCTAGCTGGCTAAGATGATGTTTTGAAGGTGGAACCGGTATAGACCAGGTGGCGACGGGGCATCAAGCCACTGTATTATACTGATTACAAGGAATAATTAAGTTTTGATTCATCTTCATTTTCTTCTTCTAGAGAAGAGAAATGTATTTACTGGATCATGTATATGAGCAGAAGATTCAATTGATGGCAATGAAAAGAGAAAATGAAGAAATATCGTGCAATTATGTTAGATCTATTAGTGGAAACCTAATATCTAGGGATTGATTAATCTTATTAAGCAGTCTTTCTGCGATAAGCTCCAATTATAATATAATGGCTTATCTCTCTCTCGGGATGTTTCTGATATAATTACGTGACGCAGGCGAAGTGGATGGAGGTCCAATGCATGCAGACCACCACCCATGTCCCGGAAAAGTAGTGCCTCTTACAAACACAGCAGCCGAATGAACTGTATCTGTATGACTTTGCTCTGTTTTGTTTTCTTTTCGTTTTTGTAGGTGGTGGTGTTGGTGGAGGGATTTTTTTTGGTCAATAATGGTGGAGGGATTCTGGTATAGTTCGGATCTGCTCCTCACGGAGCGCTCTCAAACAACCTCACAGTATGCTCCAGCCGCACATTGGAACATTTCCCGCACGAATGTTATTATTCATGCCTTCATGGGAGATGTTCTCAATACATTGTGGTAATTGGGATATCCTCAGAGCGTGCCTCACACCGACCTTACAGCCACATCCCGCTCTGTATTGGGAACATCTCCCCTGAATAACAAATACAGGTATGAGAGATGTTCCTGATGTGCTGCCAATACACGTGAGGTCGGTGTAAGGTGCGCACTGTGAGGATCAGATCTGGACTCACATGGTGGGATGTGACTGTRAGGAGCAAATCCCAATTCCTGGTATTAAGCTTTTCTTGGCACATGTGCACACACACATGCACACGTCACATGGGCACTCCGGTTCTCTTACCCACAAACTTTTCCCACGACTCTACCCACAAGATACTACTGCCTTGTATTAGGAACATCTCCCAATGAATGACATTCCTAATACATTGTAGGTAGGGATATGGGGAGAGTTTATCAGTAGATGATCCAAGCTCAGCCATAAAAGAAGGCTTGTCTATGAAGGTCAGTCCACCAGAAATTTCTTAGCCTCCTTGCTGAATTTTCCTCAACTGTCAAGAAGAGTGTGGACTAAATTGGACAGATCGTATCAGTTTATCATGCTGATTGCCGAGTTGATGCATTTAGACAAAATTCGACGAGGAATTCTAGCAGATTATTTTTTAAACTCTACTGATAACCAATTAGATGATTTTTTATCAAAATTTATAGGAAATTTTGATTGGTCAAAGTCTTTCTGTCATTGTAGATTTTTTCTAATAATTAAATAACATAAAAATTGCTCCATTGTAAAATTTTGAAAATACAAACTAAAAAATATAAAAAGCACAAGATTCAAAGTATTAATACACCCTATCAAGGTGTATGAATTTTTTGAACCTTGATAAATGCTTTTAAAGTGGGCTGGCAGGTAATGTGCTTACACAATATATTCGAAGGGACAGTTGTCAATATTATGATAATGTTTTTATACGATGTATTCACCATTTTTTTTTTTATAATTTCAAGAGTTACACGAGACAGGGTGTAGAACCACCACTCAAATCACAACAAATAAAACCTAGAGATTTAGGCTGTGTTTGGTTTGAAAGAAAAAGTAGGAAAAGGAAAAAAAAGGTAAAGAAACTTTTACAAACCTTGTATAGGTTTTTCTGTTTTCCTACATTTTCTTTCAAACCAAACATAGCCTTAGGAAAAAAACAAAGAGAGAATGACTGTTCAATCCACCTCAGAATTCATAGTCTTATCGTACAGGTGGAATGAATCCTGACTGTGGATTGATGCCAAATCCACCAGCAGGATGCGATTTATAGAAAGGGGGGCTCCTAAGTGTACTCCAAAGAAACAACCAGAAACATCATTGATGTGCGCAAAGTTGGCCGATAGTCTGCAGCTTTATTGCGTTCATTTACCCTTCTATCTCTGTTCTTAGAGACCTGCAATCCTCTATGATAGTCTTCGATCTCCACAGAGGATCACACAGTTGTTTAAGCTGTCAATTACTAGTTCTGAACCACCTTCGATGATGAGATCTTTTGTTGGTGAAGTTAAGCATCACGTTGTGGGAGGCAGCCCAAGCCTCAACCATATTAATAGAACTAGGACCAATTTTGTAAGCCTTTGGCATCAAGGATTCTTGTTGAACTAGGACCAATTTCTAGCAACACAGGTAAGGGATGCAACTTGAATCGGGTTTGATTGGAAAATTAAATTTTTAATGGATCTGAACCCTTATCTGATTTCGATGTAGTTAAAATTCTTTTTTTTGTACTTTTTTTTTTCAAGTAGAGAGGAAAGAAAACTAAAAACCAGAAGACGAGAAAATTCCAAAACACCACGTCCATGTATAAAATCGTTTTCCCTCATTCCCTTAACGATGACAGATTGACAGAGCTTGATTTCCATGTGTTTTTGGAGGAAAAAAAAAATGAGAAAAGAACAAATTTTCTATGTCTACATGCACGGGGACAAAAATAGTTCTATCCAATTAACATGTGGTTACAATTTATGTTTTCTTATTTTTCTTAAATTTATTTAAAACATAACAAAAGTATTATATAATGAGTTATCTAATAATATTTTAAAAAAGTGCAAGTATATATCAACCTTCATGTATATAATATATTATTAGATGTTGAATGCATTAAAATGTATTACTTTAAACAAAAGGAAGTGATTTGGGCAAATCCCATTTTGAATAACAGAGGACTTGTTTAATAAAGGAAGTGCTTTAAAAGGCATAAACACTCATGTGTTTTGACTTTTATACTTTACCCGTGAGGATTTTTTTTTGGGTCTTTTTACTAGGGATATGCTTGTTCATAAAAAAATGGGATCTGCCCCCAGTCGAACTAAAAGTATCTTTTTTTTTATTCATTTTTATTTTAGAGTCATTTTAGTCTCCAAATTTTAAAACATGACAATTCAGTACTCCAATTTTCAAAATGTGTCAATCYGGTACCTGCCGATCTGTCGTTAACCAACCCGTTAATCAGCCGTTAAGTGGTATTTGAAAAGACACAAATGCCTTTCAAGTGTCATCTAATTCTCTTTATCAATTATCCAAACATTAACAAAAAATGAACAATCCTAAATCTTTGCATCTTCTATTCAAGAAAATTGGGGTCACATCTCGATGGTTGATAAAGGATTTGATACTATTCATTTTTTGTCAACATTTAGATGGTTGATAAAGAGAATTAGATGACACTCGAAGGGCATTTGTGTCTTTTCAAATACCACTTAATGGCTGATTAACGGATTGRTTAATGGCAGGTACTGGATTGGCGCATTTTGAAAGTTTGAATACTAAATTGTTATATTTTAAAGTTCAGGGATCAAGTAACACTAAACCCAAAGTATAGGGTATTAATCGGGATTTTGCACTATAATCAATTGAGATGTAGAATTAATGTTATCAATGTATGTGCCTGATCTACGTGGTTTTCCTCCGGCCCATTCAAATTTTAACCTAAGTTGCAGCCTTATTTATTTATTTTTGGGACAGCCTTAATTATCTTTACAAATCCTCGTTGTTGTAGTGTATTATTAATATATCCCCTTCTATCCCTTAAAATTGTCTCAGATATTTTACCATATTGACACCTTAGAGGCAAAATAAAGCCTTAATTATAACCATGGTTTTTAAAAACGAATCAGTGATCGAATCGGTCAGGGGTTTGGTTACCGGTTCGAACGGTCCAATTGTTCGACCCGAACGTCCGGCCCATTCTGACAAAAAAATAAAAATAATAAAAAATTGGAAAACGATCAAAACCGTTTGAACAGTTAACTGATCGGTTCAACGGTTTGCTGACCAAAATCAACAGTTTTGGGGAAAAAAGCGGTTTTGGAGAAAAACGGAACCGGTCAGAACCGGTTCCCGGTTTTTCCGGCCCGACCGTTTGGTCTGGTCCAATTTTAAAAACAGTGATTATAATTGATAAATCATTCACTCTACGTGCACCAAAATAAGGGTGCATTTGTTTTTTCATAAGTTAGGAAAAATTGATTAATGGGAAAGTTAATCAACCTTTGATGTCAAAATATTAGACAAAGTTACCCCTTATAAGAATTAGAATATATAAGTAAAAATTGTAACTTGCCCAATAAATTTCCTGCTTAAAAGAATACAATAAAAAAAATGTATTTACCTGAGAAAGAATTACCTGCAAAAAACTTGGGGCCCATTTCAATTCCAACCATTTGATTGGGTGGGATGACATTCCCCCATGTGAGGGAATGGCCATCCCCTCCCCCTCCCTTGGGAATAACATCCTATTCCAACTTATTTGAATTCCTGTTTGAACCAAACAGACTATAAGAATACAAGAATAGATCATTTGGATTTTGATTCCGATTCCTATTATAAGCAAAATGGACCCTTTCTAATTTACCAAAAGAAATAATAAGGCCTAAAAATTAACTAAAGCCCAACAAAGACATGAATATATGGCCCACATATTAGATACTATGGACCTTGAAATTGAATGGCCTTGTTTTAGGCCACAACCCAGGTGACCAAACCCAACTGGCCACCTTGTGATGGTCGGTCGAGGACGGAACCATGCCAGGTTATATTCACTGGTTTTGGAACGTCCAAGCTGCTTCCAGCAGGCACATATCACATTTATGCACTGGCTGGATCCGGAAGTTCCTGTGACATCAAAATCAGTGACTAACTACTATTTAGAGTATGAACAGCGAAATGAATCTTTATCTGACGAAATGGGCCTACATCTAATCTTTTAAGTAATTCGGGGCCCCATACCCGAAGACATCATCGTTTGGTGGGTCTCACTCTTTAACAAGAAAAGGCCATTGTTCTTAGCTTGTCCATCTCCTCCTATACACATTTGTCTGCCACTCCCTCCGTCCCCTCCTATCTAGGCAGCCTGATAAAAGGAAATCAATGGTTTCTACTTTCTAGGTGATAATTAATCTAGACTTAACTTCTTTTTCTCCTCATTAGTCTGTGTACAGGCTTTTGAGTTTCGGCATTGGATGCAGAGGAAGCATGTGCAAGAACGTGGAAGTGTCTGCCACTTCTGTCAAAGAGTTAAAAGAGGAGACATGGTGAATGGATGCCTGAGAGTACAGCCATTCACTC